AAACTAATTTCAAAATAATTATTGATTGTGATTTATTTTCAACTTGAAATATCTTCAAACTAATGAAATATAAAGTTATTAGTGAAAAAAGTCCATCTGGAAAACAGCAGAATGACTGCTCGTAAAATATGACAGGTCTGGACCACTTGTGAAATTTGTTCGTATCTGAAGAAAACCTTACAATACGAGAATATTGGTGAATGCCACGAGTTCTCCTAAAACACTCGTACGCACAACTTAACAAATCTGATCGTACGAACGATTCTTGCATGAACCCATTCTCTTTATACTCACAAAAGAGTGTAAACTCAATTGAAACAGATACACTTTGATCACCTTCCATACTTAACAATGAATTCTGGATCAGAAACTGATTCTAACTAATTACAACATCCAACAGTTTCACAATAACCAGAGCTGGATTGCACCAATCAGAGGAAGCTGAACTTCCACATGGGAAAACCTGAGAAGTGAAGAAACCATTAAGAAAAAACGGCTTCATGTCCAGAGCCACTTGTGCTGTGTGAGCATTTAACTGAAGGAAACTCCATTTTTTTTAAGTCTACTGTTTGAACAATACTGTAATTGATCCCCCCCACCCCACACACAGACATCCAATTATTGCTAATCCCCATTTATTACAACACCTCTTTCCAGTATATGTGTTAGTGGCATTTTCTCACCTTAGCTGACGTCTCAAACCAACCCAGGAAGCCAGCCTCTTTGCAGAAATTGTTCATTAAGGTTGCATTGTTGGAGCTCTCCTTCTTCTGGTCACATTTATTGGCGAGCAGCACCGCGGGGATGGGGTTGCCGTTCGTCAGCTTCACCTTACTATCCAGGTCGTGCTTCCACTTGGACACCGCTTCAAACGTGGCGCCCCTCGTCACGTCGAACACGACGAACGCCCCGACAGCCTCTTTGTAGTACACCCGGGTCATGTTCCCGAATCGTTCCTGGCCTGGAAGGATGGAAAGAGGAGCGGAAATGGTTAGCCTGGCAGATGGGTGGAATCAAGCTGAAACTTGTGTGAGGTATACACAACGTAAAGTACAGCAGGAGATAATATTAAAGTATAAAAAGAAAAAACTCGAGAAGTAGTAAAGGATTGTTAAAATCTAACATCATTAGAAAATAATGGTTGCAAATGTCAATTTCATGATTTGTTGAGATGCTTACAAAGAATGCCAAATAACTGTTAAAAAAGCTTTTTTTCCATTTTTGACAAACAAGTGTATATTTTCTGAATATAAAGGAAGCATTCAGATCTAAAAGCATTACCTTTTCTTTYCATAACAGCTTCTCTCTCATTAGATAAGAAGTGTTTCTCAAACAACAAGCACAGACTCGCATAAGCTTCTGAAACGATCTTTGAGGTGTTGTTGTGATCCTTTATGTAACGACCCGGGGTGCAGTGCACCAAAGTAATCAAAGGAATAATAAAGCATTCATATAATTGAAGAGCTTAGTTAAGGAAAAGCAGAGAACGCTGAGTTTGCGAGAAACAAAACAGTTAGGGGGTCTATTTCAGTGTGATGAGATCACCTCCTCACCTAAAACAGCACCCAGAGGACCTTATAAAAGCACATTACAATCCTCTGTTCTCATATGCAGCTGAGCTACAATTTTTTAATGCATTTCTTGCCTTTTATTGTGCAGCACACTAGTGATTAGATTAAAGCCGTGCAATTACAGCGAGCCTCCGATGACTGGTGGGAGCATGTGACAGATTTAGCACATATTTATGCTACATTGCTCCAATTTGAGAAAGCCCTACAAGGCAGTGTATTAAAGCTGCTAATGAAGTTTACAATAGCTTTGTCGCAAAATAGGAAGTGAACTAAGAAGACCAACTGAGGAAGCGTGAGCCAGGCTTTCTGCATACTTTCACTTTTCCGTATAGGAGCCTTCCCAGCCGTGCGATGGAACTGGAGTGGCGTGGCGCAGTGCGGGTGTGAGCGGCAGAGCGAATACACTGTGGGGCCCACAGGCCTGACAGTAATTGCTCATAATTGAGGGTCTAATTTTAGTTGATATAACCCCAGGTGAATTCACCAGAGATACGACACAGTGGGATAAAGAGCTGATGGACTGGGAAAAAAAAGCTTACATTTCCAGGCCTTACGCAGCTCATATGTCCAGAAAGGGGCAGGAGGGCAGAATATAGACAGAAATAAGAATATCATCATTTTGTTAAACTCTGACATGAATGTTGGAATTCACCAAAGTGGAAGAAATACCATGGCATTATGTATAATATKCTACGGAGGTAAGTGTAGACATTCTTCCAAATTAAGTTTTRTWTTTACAAAACATTCTGAAAACAATAAACCTGGTGCTTCATTTATTCTTGGAACATTTAGAAGAACTAAAGGTATAATAGTAAATGGCCTGAACTTATGTAGTACTTTATCAAGCCCAAGGACTCCAAAGTGCTTTACGCTAGTCAATCACCATTCATACACATGTAAGAATATTTCGGGTTCGTTAACTGAAATTGTGACGAAACCACATAAATATTGAATAGATTAAAATGTGAAGCGAATGGAACCATACAAACCAGATCTGGTTTACGAGCAAGCTTTATTGCTTACGCTGAAGCAATCAGAGCAAGTCTGGCTGAAACCGGAAGTTCCGGTCTATATATACAGGGATCTTCAGTGCCTGGTACGCCCACTACAGGCCTACGGCTGAATCGCAGACACTCTGAACAGCAATGCTCATCTAATGTTTTTATTAACGTTTGTTATGTGTTGTCGAGGTGTTTCGGGCATGTAACTAAACCTATTTTAATCAAGACATAACAATAGATTATAAAAGTCAAGCCTTAAAAAGGAAAACTAAGAAAATGATGTGGTGCTTTTAAATCAGTGTCTAACTAATAAATACCTTCACAYGTATTCACACTTCTCCAGTTTTTTCATAGGGTTCGGTGCTCCAAGCAGCCTTCCACCATTGGGCTCAGATACACACCTCAGTGTTTCCCCTACCATTACACAGCCCACCCCGCCAAGACCAATTTCCTAGGGGAAACACTGCACCTGATTGCGATAGTGTCACACAAGCATTTAGCTAGAGGGGTGTCGGGGCATCGTTACGCCGACCTCTTTCAGCTGGTAGCGCCTAAGGATGCCCCCAAGGCACTGTAYTGAACTTTCGATCCCCTGAGTTTATTCATTTATTTTTTTATATGTGACATAAATTTCGTAACCTTCCATAAACTACATAAGTGGAGGAGGGAGTGACCGTAATATTTTATGAAGCCAGAGGAAGACAAAGAATAAATTGTGCTTGTTTGGATAGAGGAGTTGGGTAGTGATGTTACAGTTTCAGCAGATGTGTGTTTTCACAATCTCCGGTCTGGAACTTTTCGTAACTTTTTTAACCTATGTAAATTTTGTAAGCTGTGCAAACTTTGTAAGTGGGTGGGGTGGGGGTTATGGCTTAAAWTGTCAACGCCCTCCTCCAAAACCCTACCTAAAAGCCTCGTCACACACAGAAAAGATATTATCACATGGCACTAATTGCAGTGATCGCACGATTAACGCGATAGGATTTTGCCCAAGCCTACTTCCTTTTTAACACATTTTCATCTTGTTACTTGGCCATAACACTGGCTGGTGGCATCAAAACAATATTCACTGCGTTTGAAGGAAAACTATTTACACCAAGATGAAAACGCCCACTGTAAATAATCTGAATTATTGCTAAGGGTACAAAATATTAGTTTCCATTTCCAAGAAATTCCTCAAAGTTTGGAAACTACCGTACAACCAATTTGTTTCCATGTCAGAGCAGGCCCCATAATTATAAATTAGGGATGCACAATATATCTGCATTAATATCGGCCAATATTGGTTATTTTTTAGAATATCAGTATCAGTCCGATATGTAAAACTGGGCCGATATTAATATCCGATCTAGATTTCCCACTTTTAGCTTTGTATTTCTGTTTTGGGATGGGAGATGGTTGAGCTGCATCTGTTTGATCATGATAGTGATACTGATTCTGYGCAGCCAGGAATAACTGAAGTCGGGAGCCATGTCAGAGGTCTGGTTGTTTACGGTATCAAAAAAAGACCCAAGTGTGTTTGTGCRTATACGTATAATTTGTATGTTTGTGTAATATCGGTAAATGTCGGTTATCGGCCCTAACAGCAAGAATTCTATCGGATAGCGATATTGGCTGAATTTTTCATATTGGTGCATCCCTATTATAAAACGGTATAGAGCAGTGGTTCCCAAATTTGGGGTCCTGAAACATCAAGGTGGGGTCCTGAAAAGATTTTCTAAATTAATTACATTTTTGCCTTAGTTGCCTAAAATGTATAAATGTAGAATAATAAATATTGTTACTATGCCCATGTTTAGTTGACCTGATACAAATGTTCATCATCCAAAAATAGTTGTGGGCACAGGTCTCTGCTACTGTTATTTTGTGTGTCAAACGCTGAAAAGTTTGGGAACCACTGCACTTCAGAAATCAATTTAAAGGGTAATAAAATAATTAGTGATGTAATATTTTCCCTATAATTATTACAAAAACAAAATGAGTATAAATACATATTTATTTTTATGTAGCCTTAGTTTTTAGGCTTATTAACAAAGTTTGTGTACTCAGACCAGTAATATTTGGGGTCACAAGTTTTTGCCATGAATATTTTGTGGGTCAGAAGATAAAAAGTTTGGGAACCACGGATATAGAGCATTATAGTTCTGCTTAATCACTTAGTTATCCTAAGCATTGAAACAGGATTTATGAAAAGTCAGGGAGTTGCTCAAATCTACTGATGCTGAAGTTCCTAACAAATTAAGGCCAAAAAAAATAAGATATCAGCTAAATTATTTTAAAAGGTTTTTTTAAATATACTTTTCTGGTTTGTTTCTTTCTTGTTCAAGAATTTGTACTATTTCATTATCCGGCAAAAGAAAAAGTACATCTCAAAGAATTTTTTTTCTCTCCGTATGAAAAGGGACAAATACAGTTATACAAGAAATGAATGTCATATGCTGCTAACCCAATCAGCATAAAACACGCAGATGGACTGAGCTGCATGAACAATCGAGTATTTACTCAGCGAATGCCACAGAGAAGCACGAGACTGCGGGAAGGAACAACGGCGTGTGCTCCTTCGTCAAAAGTACAACATGAGACGTCCGTCAGTAAACTGACAAGAACTCATTCATTCATTTTATTTATTGTATAAACGGCACTGCATATAGGATACAGTAACATTAACATAAATGGGTAACACAATAAAGCTTATTTCCATTGTGGTCCAAGCACAAGGGTGTAGAAGCATACATYGACACCAATACTGCACAGAGATGTGGTGGAACACCAGAGGCTTTAAAAAGGAATATTTCAGTTCAGTCGACCGAGCTGAGGAAGTCCATGACCTCGAGCACAATTAGACCCCCGCGGGTTATGAGCGTATCCAACATTTCACTTACAGAACTACTTGATGAAACAGCCACAGTGTCATCGCTGTTTACTGCGTGGGAGAAAACAGGGAAGGAAAAAAAAGGGAGGCAAAAAAAAAAGTCTCATCATTATCCGCAGACCTAGCAACCCTACTTTCTTCTCTGGTCATACGTGCTCCTGTGGGTGGGTAACCATAGAAACTGTCCAAGCCAGACGTTGCAGCAGCAACAACAGCAGCCGCAGCAGTCTCCCATCTGTTAGGATGGCTGTGACCCCCCCCCACCACCACCACCACCACAACCCRCCCCCAAACACAAAAATAACGAGACAGCGCTGAAACTTGTATTTAAGGTGGTCTTCAGCACAAACCTTTCAAGGAAGGGCTGTGAAGTGCACATGATCGGCAAGACAAAATTCCTCCGAGCAGCATGTGAGCGATGACTTACAGCTTAATCTGAACACTCTGAATTAGTGTGTGTGTGTGTGTGAGAGAGAGTGTGTGTGTGTGTGGATCCCAGACCTCCTAAAGAGTTGTG